GGTAGTGGGGTAAAAAAAAAAATGTAATTTGAAGTTCGATGAGAGTTTTGGAAAATGTTTTCCTTAATTTCAGGGGGGAGTCATTTTCCTTAAATTTGAGGAAAATGAATTGATTTGGAAAACATTTAACCCAATCAAACATGAGAAAATCGGAAAACATTTTTCGAAAATTATTTTCCTTCAAACCAAACACACCCTAAAACTATAAAATTGAACAATTATTAAATACACACATCCTACTTGACATGTCCTAAGTATCGAATGACATGCAACAAGATCATATTGAGATTTGATCAACGTGATCACATGTCCTAAGTATCGAATCACATGCAACAAGATCATAATGAGATTTGATCAACGTGATCACATGTCCTACTTACAGATGCGTTGGAGTTTACATCTTATTTGTGCATATTCATGATCCATATATTCTCTTATTGTATAAGTGGGAGTTCAAGCTTACCAAGCAGGACTCCGTCGACATGTGTGCTTGTGCGCGTGGGTGGTATTGTCATTTCACTCTTAACCTTCTCCTAACACGCGTTGATCAATTTTATCAGATAGAAAGTCGTAGCTTCTTTCTTCCTCCACCTCATTGCTTCCGCTTCTCCTCATTGAAGCTAATTGCTTTGCTTCTGCTCGCTACCTGAGTGAAAACCTAACTTTATACCTTTATGTCCTTCGTTTTCGGCGTTTCGTCTGTAGGTGGTTCATGATTTTTCCTTCTCGGAAGAACCCAGTTTCTTCAAAAAATCTAACTCACCAATTTGGGCATTAATCATATATATATATATATATTATTATAAGTGGGAAAATCCAACAATAAAGTTGGATTACCATTTTACCCTCAAGCTAAAACTATTTCTATAAATATTTTATTTATTAAAAAATAAACTTATATTATAATAAATATTATTAGAACATTTAAATATTTAGAATGAATTATTTAGTTGAGAAACTAAATTTATTGTAGTCTTTTCAATTTTCCAGAGTTACTTTTCCGTGTAATACTTATTGTGAATATATACAATATATTATGCTAGAGTAAAAGAACTTCAAAACAATCATTTAAATATTTTAATTATAATATTAATGTGCTTTTAAGTGTTTTCATTTCAATTTTTAATGATGACTGAAACGTAAAATGGTGTTAAACTCTATTTTGCTGTGCATTAAATTTTTCCTTTCTCTTTTGTTATTAATTTTCTATTATTTATTTAATATTTTAAAAGAACCCTGAATGTCTCTTTATATTTTTCTACTATATTTTCTTTATTTCTTTATTAATTTGGTTTCAAGAAGCTCAAAAGTCATGTTTTTTAACAATTAAGGTGGTATTTATTTGTTTTTAGTTTTATGTGCAGCCTCTATTAATTACAATATCACCACACTACACGTTTTAACAATTGAAGGGTATTGTGAGTGTCAAGTTAATTAGACTTTATATATTTTTCTTTTCTTTTGGATTTTTTCTGAATCGAATTATGTATTGAATTATAATTTTGATTTGGGTATTAGCTAAAATATGGGTGTAATATTTTTGTGGTGATTTCTTTTTTCTTATGGATATTTTTTATTTTTTATTTTTTATATCTGATAATTTTCTTGAGCGTTTTTAGTGATAATATATATTGAGTAAAGAGTGTCATATGCAGTCATCAACTTGGTGGAAAACAATAACAAAATATACAGGTAGAAATTTTA